TTCTAATGTTTTACCTTTTCTGATTGGGTTCTGTTTTTCTTAGTGATTTGTAGGAGCTGTTTATGTGTTATGTATACAAGTCTTTGGTTGGATATATGTACTGCAGATATCTTATCCCTGTCTGTGGTTTGCTTTTTCACTCTCTTGATAGTTTGAGAACATGAAGTTCTTAATTTTGTTGGAGTCGAATTTGCCAGTATTTTCTTCTGTTCTGCTTAAGAAATCTTTGCCCACCCCACGGTCGTGAAAGTGTTCTCTTGTGTTTTCTTCTGCAAGCTTTATTGTTTGACCTTTAACAGTTAGGTCTAGAATCTTCTATTATTTTGTTATTGAAGTATAGTTGACGTACAATAGTATGTTAGCTTCACGTGTACAACATGGTGGTTTGACATTTATTAGACACATTACCAAATGATCACCGTGATAAGTCTAGTAACCATCTGGCACCGTACAAAGCTGTTAGAATATTATGGACTATATTCCCTATGCTATATATTACATCCCCATGACATTTATTTTGTAACTGGAAGTTTGTACCTCTTAATCTACTTCACCTATTTTGCCCAGCTCCCCACCTGCCTCCCCTCTGGCAACCACCAGTTGGTTCTCTGTATCTGTGAGACTGTTTCTGTTTTGTTTCTTCTTTTTTTTGTTTTTTAGATCCCACACGTAAGTGAAATCACACAGTATTTGTCTTTCTGTCTGGTTTATTTCATTTAGCGTAATACCCTCTAGGTCCATCCATGTCATCACAAATAGCAAGATTTCGTTCTTTTTTTTTTTTTTTTAATTTTTATTGAGTTAATGATAGGTTGGCAATCTTGTGAAATTTCAGTTGTACATTGTTGTTTGTCAGTCGTGTTGTAGGTGCACCCCTTCACCCTTTGTGCCCACCCCCCACCCCACCTTTCACCTGGTAGCCACTAATCTGTTCTCTTTGTCTACATTTTTAAATTCCTCATATGAGTGGAGTCATACAGAGATTGTCCTTCTCTATCTGTCTTATGTCACTTAACATAATTCCCTCAAGGTCCATCCATGTTGTTGCAAATGGGACAGTTTTGTTCTTTTTTATGGCTGAGTAGTATTCCATTGTATATATATACCACATCTTCTTTATCCAGTCATCTGTTGATGGGAACTTAGGTTGCTTCCATGTCTTGGCTATTGTAAATAATGCTTCAGTGAACATGGGGGTGCATAGGACTTTTGGAATTGCTGACTTCAAGCTCTTTGGATAGATACCCAGTAGTGGGATAGCTGGGTCATATGGTAGTTCTATTTTTAATTTTTTGAGGAATCTCCATACTGTTTTCCATAGTGGCTGCACCAGTTTGCATTCCCACCAGCAGTGTATGAGGGTTCCTTTTCCTCCACAACCTCAACTGGGTTGTTAGGTTTTTTGTTGTTGAGATGTATGAGTTCTTTATATATTTTGGATATTAACCCCTTATCAGATGTATGGTTTGCAAATATCTTCTCCCAGTTGTTAGATGGTCTTTTCGTTTTGTTGATGATTTTCTTTGCTGTGCAGAACTTTTTAGTGTGATGTAGTCCCATTTGTTTATTTTTTCTTTTGTTTCCCTTGCCTGGTCAGACATAGTGTTTGAAAATAAGCTGCTAAAACAATGTCGAAGAGCATACTGCCTGTGTGTTCTTTTAGAAGTTTTATGGTTTCAGGTCTTATATTCAAGTCTTCAATCCATTTTGAGTTAATTTTTGTGTATGGTGTAAGATAATGGTCTACTTTCATTCTTTTGCATGTGACTGTCAGTTTTCCCAGCACCATTGAAGAAACTTTCCTTTCTCCATTCTGTGTTCTTGGCTACCTTGTTGAAAATTAGTTGTCCCTAGATGTATGGGTTTATTTCTGGGCTCTCGATTCCATTCCGTTGATCTGTGTGCCTGTTTTTGTGCCAGTACCATGCTGTTTTGATTACTGTAGCTTTGTAGTATATTTTGAAATCAGGGATTGTGATGCCTCCAGCTTTGTTCTTTTTTCTCAGGATTCCTTTGGCTCTTGTTGTCCCATATAAATTTTAGGATTCTTTGTTCTATTTCTGTGAAAGATGTCTTTGGAACTTTGATAGGGATTGCATTGAATCTGTAGATTGCTTTAGGAAGTAAGGACATTTTAACTGTTAATTCTTCCAATCCAAGAGCACGGAATATCTTTCTATTTCTTCGTGTCTTCTTCAATTTCTTTCACCAATGTTTTACAGTTTTCAGTGTACAAGTCTTTTACCTCTTCGGTTTATTCCTAGGTATTTTATTCTTTTTGTTGCAATTGTAAATGGGATTGTATCCTTAATTTCTCTGTCTGCTACTTCATTGTTGGTATATAGAAACGCAGCTGATTTTTGTATGTCGATTTTTTATCCTGCAACTTTACCATATCCATTTGTTATTTCTAAGTTTTTTGGTGGGTTCTTTAGGGTTTTCTATGTATAAAATCATGTCATCAGAAAATTGTGACAATTTCTCTTTTTCCTTTCCAATTTGGATCCCTTTTATTTCTTTTTCTTGCCTGATTGTTCTGGCTAGGACTTCCAACACTGTGTTAAATAAGAGTGGTGACAGTGGGCATCCTTGTCTGATTTCTGTTCTTAGAGGGAGAGCTTTCAGTTTTTCTCCGCCGAGTATGATATTAGCTGTGGGTTTGTCATATATGGCCTGTATTATGTTGAAGTACTTCAGAAGTTCTGGGTACTGGCTCTCCTTGGTGGTGTGATTGATTTTGGCCAGCATTTGTGGGTGAGCTCCTCATCTATAAAATGGGGCATGTTGGACTTTGTTCCTTAAGGTCCCTTTCACTAACATTTTGTGGCTCTGAATTTAAGTTATACCCTTGGCTTTTCTTTCACTGCTCTGCCTAAGATTTTTATAGTGTAGGGCTGCTCCCTGGCTCGGAATTTTTAGATTTTTCCTTTGCCTTCAGGGAATTTACAGCCAGAGATTTTTGCATCAGGCCTTATTTGTCCCTTTCTTTCCCTCGCTTCTTGCACCTCAGTGGGCTTTTAGTTAGATACAGATGCAAAATTATCAGATTTCCTGCTGATGCATTATTTCTGGTAAAAACAACCAACCTTTTGTTGCCCTGTTTAGTAAGTGTAAAAACACAGCAAGTATTGGGGTGTCTATTTTTTATTTTTTTTAAATGTTTGTAAAAGATCTTTTAATCTGTGTCCTAGAAAACCTTTTACCTTTTAAATCCATCCCAAATATGCCTTGGCTCTTCAAAGATTCAGTAAAGCTTATGCTGTGCAGAGAAGAATGATAGAAGCAGGAACCACTTCCCTGAGAGAGGCCCATCTTCTCCAGCCTAGTGTAGAACCAGTTCCCATTTAGAGAAATGTGGAGGAACCCACAGCCTGAGCCCTTCCAGGGAAGGCACTAAAGTACTGCCTGGGAATTAAGTACACACATCAATCAAGCTGATAAGTCTTATCCCCAGTTAATATATAATAAAATATTAACAAAGCTAAATCAAATGAGTTTTTAGTTTAGCTATGTAAGTGGAAAGCAATTTTGAGGTCTGTTGCATAAAGAATTCCAGTTCCGTGGTAGAGGAGCAAATAAATGGGATTGGGGGCAGGGTGACAAGAGGGGAGATAGATAAATCACCTGCCGTTATCTCATTGCTCTCAGCTGTGGTCCTTTAAGGCCAACATAGTGGCTTTACCAGGTTTCCTAACAGTTGAATTTCAAAATCTGCTTTAAGAAATAAATTTGTATTAATATTAGTGAATAAATTTGAAGGAGCTAGCCTGTGCTGTGAGCAATTTGTAGTAACTAACAATAAGTCCCTGTAATAGTCCAGTATTGGTTTTTACTTAATAAAATATTTAATCATAAATGTCTGAATTCTGCATCTCCCACAGGAAGACGTTTCCATGCCCACTGACAAGAATAATTTAGCAGTTTCATAGTTGAGCGCTTAATTACTCATAATTGTGAAGGGTAAGATGTGATGAATTTTTCCTTGATGGACGTACTAAATATTTTAACTATAGAGATGACTTAAAGTAAATTAAGCTTGTGAGATCATTTATTACGTTGGTTAAAAGCAGTTTAAGAAATACATCACGTCCCACATTCCATTAGATGATAACGTGTGCGGGACTGTTTGTGCTGTGTGACTATGGGCTGCACTGCTGGGAGAGACTGGATTTTTTTGGATGGGGGTTGGGAGGTGAGTGTTAAGAAGTTGGTGGGGGTTTTTGGACCTGTTTTGTTATGCTTGACTGAGTCACTAATGAGAATCCTTAGCTATATGTAGAGTTTGTTCTCAAACTAATGGGAAAACTCTTTATGCCCTTTTGTTTGGTATGAGAGTAATCGTCCCATCTCAGGACAAAGGAAAGGATTTGACAGTAAAGGCTTTCAGTTAAACCATGTTGGCATTTCTTCAGGGAAGATGGCCTGATGTGCGAAGTGTCAGAAGCAGTCAAAGGTGGAAGGAAGAGGTAAAGGCATGAGCAGAAAGTATTGTAAAATGCCCTATCACATTTCTGAGTTAGAAAGAAGCTTACATTCTGGAGTAGAGGACAGAGGAATTCAGGTATTTTAGGAGTTAGCTGAATATGTCACTGCAGCAGCAGTCGTGTCGTGTTATGAAAGGCTCGCGAGCCTCCTGCTTACCAGCAGGGACGGCTGGAACAACTTGTCTCATTAAGTTAAGCTTCTTCCCCTGAGTGTCTTATTTAGCTTTACTTCTCTTCATTCTCTTTCCCTGGTGATTTGGTTAAAGTGTCTGAAACCACTAAAGGTAAAAGGTTGAAGCAGTCCCAAATTTAATAATCTATCACCTTTCTTTCGTGTATCTGAGTGTAATTCCCAGCAGTTCTTAGCAAATTCATTAGAAGACAGCAAGTCATTAAAAGTTAATAAGAAACTGTTTGTTTCTGTGAGTGTGAATAAAATCTCTTTGTAAGTCTGACATTCTTTCCAGTCATAAAAGCCTTGCTTTTAGCCAGTTTCCATTTTCTCTGTCTCTCTAGGTTACTCCTAGATGGGGCGCCTCTGATAGCAATCCACAAAGCCAGGTATTACAAGAGGAAAGATGGCCTAGCCCTGGGACCTGGACCATTCGTGACTGCTTTAGAGTATGCCACAGACATCAAAGCCACAGTGGTAGGAAAACCAGAAAAAACGTTCTTTTTGGAAGCATTGCGGGGCACTGGCTGCGAACCAGAGGAGACCGTCATGATAGGAGATGTAAGTAGAAGAGCCAGGAAACGCGCCGAGCTCGCCTGTCACACTGGGAGGAGCTGACTTGGAAGTGCTGCTTCAAAACCAGGCGTACTCTATTTCTGATGATATCAGATGGTAGCAAGTGGCTGCCTATAAAGCAGGCTTTCTGCTAGGTGTTTAGAGGTATTCTTCGAAAGAACTGAAATTTTGAGTATTTCTGACATTCTTCATAGTGTGATGAGATATATACTATTCAAAAGACCATTAAAAGCAAGTCAATTAAATGCTTTATGTGTCTTTTGAAGAAAACCTCTACACAAATTTAGATTTTTTTTTTAAATATTATGCAGGCAAAAAACCTATACCCAGAGAATTCTACCATTAATGATTTTTTTCTTAGTATATGCTTTATGGAAGAACTTCCCAATCACTGTGCCACAAATAGCTAAAGATATCGATTGCCTCAGCCCTTGGGTGGCAGGGTTGAATCTGATGGATTGGAGGCCCTAGCCGGTCGCATCTGGCCATGACACCTTCTCAGTTTACCCCAGTGTACTGGGCAAACATTATTTTGCATATGTGCCATGATGGGAAAAGAGCTGGAAAGCACACTGCCTCATGGTAAGTAGGTGGCAAGGATTATATTTCAGTTTTTAAATAATAACGCATTAGACTGGAAGGGACCATTGAGAATGTCTGGTCCAAACCTCCTCTATAGACTGGGAAACTGAAGCCCGGAGAGGTAAATCTCCATGCCTCAATTCCCTTAGCTAATTAGTGGCACAGCTGGAAGCTGAACTCGAGGCTCTGGACTCCCTCCAAAGCAAACTGTAGATCTCTTGCTTTCTTAACTTGGGATGGTGCAAAAGTGTCACAGTCCTCCTGATTTCATCTTCCACTTGCATACTTATTCACGTAAACTGAATAGAATAATCATTGAACTTGACACTATTTAGAGAAACCTTTTTCTCTTGGCAAGCCTTTAGCTGACTTTCCTAGGCGAACGTGTGTTTGAAAGCTGGTCGTCTTAGCCTGGAGACTTCAGAATTCTTATCCCCGGAGATACTGGCATTGGGACCGAGTGGGAGGTGGGAAGGGCATGTGACAGAATCCTCGGCTGCATGGAGGGTTGCTTGTTATCCAAGAGAGTGGCAGGTTTTTCCCTTCCTTTCCTTGTCCACTGTTACCCACCTCCCTTCTTCCTTTCGTCCGTCTCCCCCATCCCTGCCGCTTCATCAGGGCAAGTTTAGATGCAGCAGAAAAGGTTTCAAAGTTAGACCTTAAGTGAAGATTTTGACATTCTAAAACTCATTTCTCGGGGCCTTTGTTGAATAATTTTAATGATTTTTAAGGAAAAAACTTTTCTTCAGGCACGGTCTGAATGAGATGGCAGGATTGATTTTTCTTGATATTTGTCTAGTCCTTGGATTTTTATTACCTTGCATTTATCATCACAATCAACCAAGTATATTCATCCCTATCTTGAGTAAGAATTGGAAAGAGGAGCTCCCTTTTCTAACTGATCTCTTGTCCCCAAGTGTGAAGCGAATATCAGTCACAGAATCTGTTCAAGTGTACTGATTGGTCTTGATGCCACCTGTTAGGGACGAAAGGATGGGAAGTAAGGAGATGACATGGGCGGCGGAAAAGCTGACTTCTGACTCTAGTTCCTTCACTCTGTGCAGTTGGATCATCCACCTTAAAAGCTGCCAAGTAGAATGTTTTTTTCCATGACCTATTTTAAGAGGAGGTAGACGCACGTGGCAAAGCATGAAGAACTGTGGCTGCTCTTTGTGTTTGGTTCCGAGGATTTCTGCTCTGTGGTACACCTTCCGCCTCTGTGACGCTTCCCTTTCCAGGAGGATGCTTCCTTACACTACTACATGTGGATTACCTCTTTTTTACACCTTCCTTTCTTTCATTTTAAGAAAAAATCGTGGGATTACAGTTGGCCATCCCAGCCTAAATCAAATCATTGAGTAGGGGTTTGTTCACAAGCTACTGAAGGCACTGGACTAAATGCTTCCTTTATGCTTTTCTAGGATTGCAGGGATGATGTTGGTGGGGCTCAGAATGTCGGCATGCTGGGCATCTTAGTGAAAACTGGTATGTACCTTCTATAAGCCTTCTCTAAAACAGCACGGTGGACTACACAATTGCTTAAAGAACAGTCTGCAGAAATGGCGAAACCCACTGGGCACTTTAATTCTCTTTCTACCACAAAGCAAAAATAAAATGGACTTAGGATCGCAGGGGAAAAAGACAGTGTGGGAGGGCCCATGCTATACAAAACTGGAAGATGAGAGTTCAGAGGTATTTTAATATTTACCCAGAGGTAACCATATACAGTTAACAATTAGCATTTATATGATTTTCTGAATATACAGGTCATCAGATTGCAGTGGACCAAAAGACCGTGAATTGTGGTGCTCTGTAAAAATATCTCTTCTTTTTGTGCCAGCTGTAAGATGATGAAGTTCATCTCATTATGAACTGGCCAGCTAAGTGATCTGATACCTTTTGTTAATGTTTGCGTTTTTTAAAAAACACACATAAAAGCTTTTTTCTTGTCTTTTCACTTAACTGTTTTAGGAACTATTTCCTATACCAAGATGAGGTATACTCTGTGTGGTCCCTGAAATAAATTTAAGGAAACGGAAAGAACTTAATGGGGAGGACTCAGCTAATAGACTATTAATGACTATAGTGGACTGGTTAGGTGTCCTGTGTCCTTGTCTCAGGTCTACACTGACTAGCTGTGCAAGACCCTGGTCAAGGCTCTTCACCCCTTTGGGCCCTTTAAGAATGATGGGGTTGGATTGGTCCCTTCTAGCTCTCACAGTATGTGATTCTGTGCAACTTTCCAAATGGAGTGTGATTAATAAAGTCCTTTCAAGGTAAAGAAAGAACAGGCATGAGAGCTATGTGTGGAGGTGAATACTGTTGCACTGGGAACTTAATGAGCCTCTCCAGGAGTAATGAAAAAGTCTCCCTCACACCCAAGTGGCACCTGCTGAGCTTGGAACTAATAGCACATGTTTAAGGATGACAGCCAGAAGTCCTGTCCAAGAATTGTCATTGGGCTCTTAAAAATCAAATAGCAGATAAGTGGTTCTATAAGTGGTTCTGTGAGCCCGTTTGCCTGGTTTCATTTAATGATAGTGAAACTATTTAATAGGCTGTTCATAAAAGGGAAGATTTAAACAAAGTCACAGAAGAGCTGCTACTGGGAAACTTTAGAAAAGTACCTTTACTCATGACTGTAACATTCAAGAAAATATAGTTGCGTAAAAGTTATTTTGAATAATTTTAAAATAGAAACAAGAAAATGTAGTTGTAGCTACAGTTGAATAAGAAGTATTTGGCAAGGCCCTGTATGAACAAAGAGTGGAAACACACTCTGCTCGTGCTTAGGATCTGGGGTGGACCATCAGAGCCTTGCAGATGGTGACACCAGTCACTCTGGAATTAACAGTGTGGTTGTTTTTCAAATTTCTCAGTCAAAATGATCATCACGTTCCCAGGAACATTACTGCCCTTTGATGTAAGCAAAAAAGAGGAAGCATTAGATAAAGTTAAGAAAAATAGCCACACTCATCATTCTCCCTGCCCATCTTCCTCTACTTTATACGTGGGATGCCTACCACAGCATGGCTTGCCAAGCGGTGCCATGTCCACACCCAGGATCTGAACCGCCCCCGTGCCGGCGAAGCAGAACGTGTGAACTTAACCGCTGTGCCACCGGGCCGGCCCCAGCCTGTGTCTTAATTTTAAAATTCCTCCTATTCACCATTTTATTTTCTGGTCATTGATGAAATCCTCAGATAACTATTTTTGCTCTTGGACATGTTGTGGAGGCAAAGAACAGAGTGCTAAGAGAGAAAAACAGAGAGGGGATCTAATTTGGATAAGAAGGTAGGTCTGACCCGAAGTGTGAAGGAGGTAGTCAGGTGAGAAGAATGTTCCAGGCAAAGGGAATGGCAGGTGTGAAGGTCCTCAAAAGACCCAGGTCCAGTGTAGGAACACAGCTGGGTCTGCAGCCTGTAGTAAGGGGAGAGGGGTGCTGGGGCTGAGGACAGAGGGCCTGGTAGGCAAGGATAGAGATTCGGGGTTCTTTCTGAAGGGCACTGGGACCCATTAAGGGGTATGTAAATAGGGACATGCATTATCTGATTTACATTTGTAAAAGCTCTCTCTGACCACTCTGTGGAATGGTTCCTCTGCTAGGTTGGGGTGTTCAGTTGTGTATCTTGAGTTCCAGAGTCTGAGGAGAGTTAGGCGGCGTGCCTGCCCCTTGGTGGCCTGTCCCGCCTGGCCCAGGCCTGTGAGCATCCATCACTCTCCCTCCCCAGCCCCAGGTGCTCCATTTGCCAGGCTCACAGGGTCCCTGCGTGGCAGCCGCACATGCTGTTTCCAGTCACCCCCAGGAGCTGGCAAGGTCTCTGCCCTGTGGGGTCTGGGCCTCCATTTAGAAGCATTGATTTAATCACCATTCCTGTCTTTAGGGCTGGTGGGGGAGAAAATGATTCCACAGCCCTCGGGATTTGAAGGACACCTTACCTGTCAGGTTTCCCAGCCCCTGTGACTGTCCATCCTGAAAGACCAGAGGGCCTGGGAAAATGCTGAAAATGATCTCTCTCTGAATTGTCTCATGCATCCTGAAGCCTCAGTAAGAGGTGGTTTTGGGGGTGTGGAGTCCCTGATTCTCTCTGGTAATTGAAAGGGTGGTTCTGTGGTGGCCCAGGTGCCCTCGGGTGTGGTGAAGGTGGCATCCTAGCAGTGGCCTTTGTTCACTGACTTTACTTTTATTTCAGGCAAGTATCGAGCAGGAGATGAAGAAAAAATTAATCCACCTCCTTACTTAACTTGTGAGAGCTTCCCTCATGCTGTGGACCACATTCTGCAGCACCTACTGTCAACTGTTATGTGAATCAGAAGCAACTTGAAACGCAGCTTTTCATCGTCGGGCATGAATCCCTCACCAGCTCGATGCCAGCGTAGATAGACAGCCAGTGCTGCTGACGCTGTAACCTTTTACTGTGCATTAATCAGAAAGAAAGGTATTGAATTGCAGCCCCTAAGCTTTGCTAATCCCTTTTGTTTTATTTCACAAAAGAAGATGAGACCCGAAGAAAGGGAAAGCTGAGATTTTATGCCATTGCTGTTAAAATATTCATGGGGTTCGGCAGGGCTGGGGGAGAATCTGCCGTGGGGAGTCCTGTTCTCTGCTGTCTCCTCACTAGAAAATTGGGAGCAAGGGGGATTCAGATCGTGAATAAAGTTGAGTGTTGTTTTTTAAATTGTAAAATAATGTGTTGAAAGGTGCATTAGGCCATAATTTTAATATTGAGTTCAACTGTGAAATCCGTCAGAAGAACCAAGTGGAGTACAAGACAGAAGCAGCGAAATAGATTGTCCTTTCGCCCAAGTGAGCGAGTGAATTTGCCGTAACGAATGTTGAAAACTAGATTATCTGCTGTGTTATTCCCAGCACGGATGACTTCTTTTTCTCTTCATTAGCTAGAGATGACTAATTTAAATTTAGAACCTGATTTTAATTTAAAATAATATTTCCATTAATAACCTATTCATTGCAGATACCTATTATACTGTGTAACAGTTGTTTTGGAAATTTTATGTAAAATTAAAACTATCAGTATTTTACAGATGTTTTAATTAGACATTGTTATTAACAGGAACAGTGCAGAAACTAAAATCAAGCCTTTAATGTCGTATAGACCATGCATTTTTGACGTTAGTGTCCACCAGGGTCCTATTAACTGTACATTTGCAGGATTTCATTATTTTTGCCTCTGACACTATGGGAAAATCTTTCAGAAGCTATTGGGACAGATTCAAGCTTTTATGTACTTGGTTACTACAGCTGTAAAATGAAATCTCATCTTGTAGCATGGATTATTCTTCTCGTGTTAAACCCACCAAAATGAAGGGGACTAAGGAGGTAATGATTTTCCTAGAGCATTTGCATACTGTGATAATCCTGGGCCTTTGCAATTGTTTTACAGGGCTCTTGGGCATTGAATTATTAGCATGTAATTGTACATCATTGTAGTGTTCACCTTCTAGAATCGCACGCTGATGGTAATGAGCTTCGGGTTTTGATGCTTGTTTAGAGATCAGCTCGGCCTTGGATGGGAGGGAGCGAACCTAAATGAGTGGTAGCTCCCGCTCCTTTTGGTAGTTTGGTGAACACCGTTCTTGTTCCTGCAGATGCCCCAACTTAGTACTCACACAGCCTAGAGCCCAAAAGCAGATGTGACAGGCCTCCCACCCCAGACTGGATGGCTTAGTGGAGTGGCAGAGAGCCTAGATTTGGGAGCCTCGCCAGCACTTCACCACCTCTGTGACCTTGCACAAGTCATCTAGCCTCTTATACCGCCTTTTCATTGTGTGTAGAATGCAGATAATAACGAAAGTTCCCACCACATAGGCTTGTTGTGGGGGTTAAACGCATGACCCATGTATTAAGTACTTAGAATAGAATCAGGCAAATGCTAAGTGCTGTGCGTTTGCGATGATGATGGTGCAGATGTAGCAGGAGCATCACATTTAACAATCTCAGAAGGGTTGGTAGAACGTATCTCTCCAGTCAGTTCAGTGGAGAAAGTCTTTCTGAGATTAAAAAAGAGAGACATTCTCCTATATTTAGACTCCCTCAGGACAAAGCCACATGAGAAGGAAGCTCACATGCAGGTAGAGAGCGCTGCTTGGTGCCTGCGGGTGGGCTACATTGAGCTGTGGCCTGTCACCCAGGCACCTGGGCGAGTGATTCCTTGGCCCGAGTGTTATCAAGTGTTTACTCATTGCTACAGGCTAAGTGCCATGCCAGGAAATAAGCATATAAGAAAAAGATTTTGCCTTGAGGACCCTTACTAGTTAAGGAACTAAGGAGAATACACAAGACATGAAGACTCCAGTGTCCCCCCACCTTGTGATGTCGTCCTGACTGCAGGATGGAGTAGGGTGTTCCCTCCTTAGTGCCCACCTAGCACTTGTTAGATTACACTTAGATCTTCACGTCTCTTCTCCCCACCAGACAGGACTGTGTCTCATTCTTTTTATATCTGCTGCAACACAGGTAGTCAGTCAGATGGTCAATGAACCAATAAAAACTAGCTGTAAATCTTATGGGAATTGAATGGTAGAAGGTATAGCTGTAGGTAGGGAGGAGAAAATGTTTCGTTTTAGACTTGTTGCCCATAGGGGACGCCCATTAGACGCTTGGAAATAAAGGATCAGATGCTCTGGAGACAGGTTAGCGGTAAAGCAAAGAAGCAGACATCACTGATGGGTCAGGAGTTAAACAGAAGGGCAGGAACAGGTAAGATCACCTGAGTATAATGTTCCCAGCCAAGAGAAACGGCTGCGCTACTTTCCTCCCATCTAGTTTGGCCCTATGGGCCATTAAAATCTTAGTTTGATATTTTATTTATTTAACAAACATTTATAGGGCTTACTAAATGACCTGTCCACAGTGAGGTTCATGAGGATAAAGGAGAATCTTGGTTTAGATTCATGTTATTATAAACATTCCCAGCTCATCTGGTTGGTCTGCCTTGGGCCTTGTGGAAATTTAATAACTGAAGTATCTAAAGGACTTCAGTTTCCAGCCATCCCATTTAAAGGATTGTCTTGTGGTATTGACCTTGACCTCAAAGAAGTGGTTGCATCAGTTTTACTGTAATCCTGTCCTGGGCCCAGAAAGGACCAAGTGGCATCTTAGCACTGGAAAGGGTGTTAGAGAAGACCCATTGTCAGGAAATGGTCGTTGAGCAGCTTGCTGTGAGCCAGGTGCATGCCAGGTGTGGAGGAGGGTGAAGCACTGGTCCAGTGGAGGACACAGATGCTCTTGCCCCCACTTCACTCTCAAACCTCCAGAATCAGCTAGTTATGCAGTAGCTCTACCCACTGTTCTGCACCTGTCAGAGCTGCTGTTAATGCCTGGGAAAGAAAAGGGGGCTAGCCCACCTCACTCTAAGTGACGGCCCCATCAAACACCTGTAGTTGGGGATGTCAAACATTCCCTTGGAATGACAGTGTCATCGCCTCACTCTTAATCCCACATTTAAAAATTACAATGTTGGACACGTAAGTGAAAAACACACTTGTATTGGTGTTTAGTTGGTTTTGGATCAATAGTTGTTCGTGTAGGATGAAACTGAAGTCCTTGAGTACTTATAATAAAGAATTTTTAAAACTTCACTAATCTGTTTCACTAAAACACTCTGCCTCAAGAAATAGAATCCCTTTTTCATATTAGCAGTTGTTTGCATAGAGCTGTGTTTGCATTATCAGGTTTCTTTGACATAAGTCAGAAAAGCCTTTTTTTGGCATAAATACACAGGCTTTTGCTGACATTTTATTATGCCAGCCATCAAGATGTCCTACCCCAGAGCCTGCTGCTCTCTTTAAGAGGCAAACAGAGCAAGGTACCAGTGCACCAGAAATCATTTATCATAACTTAAATTGCATATCTGTTAAAATCAAGCCATTTTTAACACCTTTTCCCATTGCTTACCTTCATGTCATACACATCTCAACTCCTGTTTGTTTCACTGGCTGATGTGCCTGAGAAAATCAGACTATTTATTAAATGCCTACTGAGGGTAAAGCACTGAGGAAGACAGAGCAGAATGTAGCTCCGATCCTAAGATACAGATCTAGTTGGGAAATTGAAGCATATAAAAATATACCTAACAGTCACAGAGCTCTGGCAGGTTCCAAATGGTTGTATCAGTCCTTTCAGGAAAGAGGCCGTGTACAGTGAGCTAAGTGCTTTGGGACAGGAATCAAATTCCAGCCTGTGGAGCAGATACAGTGCTCAGATAGCCTTTGGTCTACGTCACTAGAGAGTGTTTCATTCATTCAGTAGCAGTGAAAACAGTCCCATAACCATGGTGCTTATGTTTGAGTAGGGTAGCCCAGACTAATAGGACGTGCACACAAGGACTCAATACAGTAGAGCTATCGATAAGCGATAAAGACAAAGAAAGCCAAGAAGAGTGAGGTTGGAGTTAATTTAGGTAAGTATGGTTATCCAGGGATGACGGACCATCCAGGATGGTGACCTGAATGAAGTCAGGGAGCAAGCTGTGGGAGATGTAGATAGCTAACCTTAGTTGCCAAAATCTGAGTATCAGGAGATTTCAAATGCAAATCGATGACTGGTTTTCCTCGGCAGATTGGAAGATCTGGCAATGGTAGGTTCGAATTTCCATGTTCAGTTGCAGCTGAGTCACTGCTGTGTCCAGATGGTTCTGGCCCTCTCTACTTCACCGCAGTCCCACCTCTTTCTTGTCTTAGACCCAGCTTACTCTACTCCTGTTATTACGTTCCAAGTTCCTATAGGCATTTGAGTTGAGACCTCTGCGTTAGAAGAAAATACCACATGTTGGATTAAGTTAAATTTTCCTCCAGCAACTGACAGGCCAATCTCCTATATCCATGTAGACTTAGATGTACTTTTAATCTGCTATTTAAAAAATAATCATACAGACTTGAATTAGTCAAATGACAGATTAGTCAAATGAGTTGGTTGGTTTCTCAAAGCCCCACTAAAGTAAGGAAAGGAATAGAGGTATAAACCCATAAGGACAACCCACAAGAGAATGGTAGAGGAGACGTCAGTGGACAAGAAGGTACAATAACTTGGGAAATGGAAAGTGGATGGAGTGTAATGGCTAAAATCAGTGTAAAGAAAAGACAACTGAAATTCGTCCTGTAGAGCAACCTCAAAGACTCAAGGCTTGGAGACAGTAGGTAGAGAGGAAGTGAGGTGTGAGGCAGGGTTGAGAAGCGAGGAATTGGTTCAAAGCTGATAAAATGGTTAGAGCTTCAGAAACCCTCCCCACCCTGAGCAGCCAGATCAGCACCCCCAGTCAAGACAGGAGAATGGAGGCTTCTTCTCTGGAAAAGTAGAACCATCAAAGTTAAGGCCTTGGGACAGTGGGCATGGTGGTGGGCCAGGGTGGGATGCAGGCTGAAAACGAGGATTAGTGCAACCTGCTTGCCCTGCAGTGGTCCTCTGGTTCCCTTTCCTTACAACACCAGAACCAGAGGGTGTGGGTGAACTGAAAATTTACCTCATCTTTGGTCATTTGGGAAATAATACTGATGGGTATTTGACAGATCTAAGAAGGTGTTGCAAAAAAAAAATAATAATAGGTACTTAGAAAATTAAGCAAATGAAAAGGCAGTTGTTAATTCCAGGAATGACAAAAGAAAAAAGGAAATGAATCCTGATACACTAGTTGGCTCTGCAGTGAACAATGGACAGTTCTAAAAATTCTGGTTATTGAGTTAACCTAAAATCATAGTATAACTATTTGGGAATGACAGGGCAGGGGGATGAAAGAGCTACATTTCATTTCTTCCAAAGCAAGAAGTCATTTGCTAATATATAAAACTGATAAAGAAAAGCCCACAAAAATAAAAGCATAACCTAAAAACATACATGCATAACTATTCAGAGACAGCCTTTCCAAGGGAAAGACGAGAGGATGATTGAATATGTGATTGAATATAGATGGGAGTATTAAAAAGATGAACTTGGAAATTCTTAAAAGGAATGGAGGAAGGATGTGGAGGTGTGTCAAGCACGTGGTAGACTGTGGAAGAAGGTTACGTGTATTGAGGGATGGCAAAACCACACTTACCCTGATTGGAGTCAGGAGTGGGAAGAAAGCTTTTATTGCTACTTGATTCTGACGCCTAGGGACCCTGTGTACAACAGAGGGAACCCTGGCTGGTCTTTTTTTTTTTTTTTTTTAACTTTTTATTAAGATTATGATAGTTTACAACCTTGTGAAATTTCAGTTGTACGTTATTGTTAGTCGTGTTGTAGGTACACCACTTCACCCTTTATGCCCTCCCCCCATGCCCCCTTTCCCCTGGTAACCACCAATCAGTTCTCTTTGTCTACATGTTTAACTTCCACCTATGAGTGGAGTCATACAGACTTCGTCTTTCTCTGTCTGGCTTATTTCACTTAACATAATACCCTCAAGGTCCATCCATGTTGTTGTGAATAGGACGATTTTATCCTTTTTTATAGCTGAGTAGTATTCCATTGTGTGTATATATATAAAATATATATATATACCATATCTTCTTTTTTTTTTTTTTTTTTTTAAGATTTTATTTTTTCCTTTTTCTCCCCAAAGCCCCCCAGTACATAGTTGTATATTCTTCGTTGTGGGTCCTTCTAGTTGTGGCATATGGGATGCTGCCTCAGCGTGGTTTGATGAGCAGTGCCATGTCCGCGCCCAGGATTCGAACCAACGAAACACTGGGCCGCCTGCAGCGGAGCGCGCGAACTTAACCACTCGGCCATGGGGCCAGCCCCATATACCATATCTTCTTTATCCAATCATCAGTTGATGGGCACTTAGGTTGCGTCCATGTCTTGGCTATTGTAAATAATGCTGCAATGAACATAGGGGTGCATGGGATTTTTGGAATTGCTGATTTCAAGTTCTTTGGATAGATACCCAGTAGTGGGATGGCTGGGTCCTAAGGTATTTCTATTTTTAATTTTTTGAGAAATCTCCATACTGTTTTCCATAGTGGCTGCACCAGTTTGCATTCCCACCAACAGTGTATGAGGATTCCTTTTTCTCCACAACCTCTCCAACATTTGTCACTTTTTGTTTTGTTTATTTTTGCCATTCTAACAGGTGTAAGGGGATATCTTAGTGTAGTTTTGATTTGCATTTCCCTGATTGTTAGTGATGATGAGCATCTTTTCATGTGTCTATTGGCCATCCATATATCTTCTTTGGAGAAACCTGCCTGGTCTTTTTGTGCCATCCTCTCACCTTCCAGTGCTGTATCAGACAATGCTCCACTGCTATTCATAGAGTTTTCATGGCCAATGTTTTGAAAGTGGTGGCCAGGTCCTTCTTCCTAGTCTGTCTAGTCTGGAAGCTCCACTGAAACCCGTCCACTATGGGTGACCTGCTGGTATTTGAAATCCTGGTGGCGTAGCTTTCAGCATCATAGCAACATGCAGCTGCCACAGTATGACACCCGACGGACAGGTGATGTGGTTCCTTGACCCAGGAGCGAACCTGGGTCATGGTGGAAATGCCAAATCTTAACCACTAGACCACCAGGGCTGGCTGGGCAGTAAGTTAAAAGGGCCCAAATATGTTGTCACAAAGCACGCTATCCACAGGAGCGTCTCCTCTGCCCCTTTACCTGTTTGCTCTTAAGTACGCATACAAGGCAAACTTACCTGCTTTCCAACCACAGCAAATTAGCAACAACAGTTGAGGTTCCATCCCATTGAGATTTTATGAAATTAGGATGGTAGTGGCCACGAGCCAATGAACTCACAGCTACAAGAAATGTCAGCTGAAAGCCTAACAAAGAAAAGAACCCAAAAGCACAGAAAGCAGATGTTGGGAATTGACCAGTACAGCTGTCTGAGGCCATTTAGAGATCTGTACGTCTAGCGTATCACTCTTGCTGCATAGGGTAATACCTGATGATCACGGAAAAGTTTGTTTAGCATACACTAAGATGAAATATCTTTTTATTTTAAATTGATTATATAAGGTATATTTTTAATTTGACTTCATTTTCCATGAAATGACATTTCAAAAGGCATTTGAGAGTATTCTGCTCAAAATAGTTAGTACCCCGAAAATGCTTTGTTTACCTTAAAAGGGTAAAATCCTTTGGAATATTTGCCTATCCAAAATGTCTCTTTTCCTGGAATTTTTTCTCCTCTGGAGGAGTCTGCCTTGCAAGGATGAAGAAAACAAGGCAAGAAAGAGAAAAGGTGACTTACCATAGCTAAGTTCTAGTTGGGGAGAGGAGTGGCATTACTTAATGGAAGCCTTCAAAATTTATCAGGAGTTGAAAGTAGATGCCTCAGATTGTGGGTTTCTGAGGGAGATGCTTCTGGCTATTTGTAACCCCATAAGGAGATGAGGAGCCTAAAGCAGAGAATACTCAGGATGACTGTTGTAGAAGCTCAGGTACCCCATCCTAAGCTTTGGATCCAACAAGGAGCTGTGGCAATGGAAAGGAGGGCCAGAGCACAAGGGACGTGCAATGTGGAGAGTTAAAAGATGTTATTAGGGGCCAGAACTTAAAACAAGCTGGTAGCTGGTGCTGGTGGTGTGCTAGTCACCATTGCTGTTAACTCTAGACTCAAAACGCTCATCTCTAGAGATCTGTCAGTGACATTTCCTAGT